GTTAGTATAAGAAAAATTAGATATGTGCTTTCCACTATTGCTGATATGACTGCCTACTTTCCCCAGTGGAGTCTGAAAAAATTATCAAATGCTTTAATTACAACTGATCAGTTAGGAATGATCAGTCAGAAGTCATCAAATGTTGTCAACATCAGCAGATTTTAATTTTAAAAACCCCATGTTTTCTTTGATAGGAGTTTTCTAGATGAAATCTTTTACACTGAAAATCTACAAATCTTGATATAAAAGGGGAAGAAAAGAGACATTCATAGAGAAAGCAAAAATATGACATAAAAATCAGTTTGGGTTTTGCATGCACATAGTAATTTTTCAGAAAACATTCACTTGCTTTGATACAAAGAAGATGTTATCGAGAAGTCAAACTGAGTTTTATCCCAGGCCTCATAAAAACAAGCATGTTTGACAGTTGTGGGAAAGAAGGGGGCTCAAGATGGATCTATTGTTCATGCAGAAAGATCTCATTTCAAAAGTTAAATTACTCGTAATGATTCCATGTTAATTTGTTATTTGAATCCCCTGCAGTCCCACTTTCCCCAGACAGAGCTGGATGATGGGAGATGGTCAGGATGTTAGTTAAGCTTTTTGGCTTAGAGTAGATCTCTGCTGAAACAAGTTCTGATTGCTGCTGAACTAGATATGTGTTATTTTCTTTCAAAATTAAACCTGCATGTTTCAGAATTCAACAAAACCATTTCTTTTCTGATTTTTACTTCAATTTTGTTAAAAGAACACCCAACAACACAATGTTAAAATGCCAAAGAAAAGTTTCTCAGAAACAAAACCAAGCCCAAAATAGCAGTATTTCAAAAACAGCACATTTCAACAGGACGGAAATTCTTTCCCCTTCTTATTTTCTTAAACTAAAGTGCTGACAAATTCAATACATTTTCTGAAGTGTTTCATTTTGACCAAATTTGCATGTACTCGTAGAATAATGGATCCACTAAACTGATTATGAGTGGTTGAGGCTGAATGTTTTTCTTTTTTGGGTTAAGGCCCCTACAAGTCTACTGAGACTGACTTAGTCTGTCCTGAATAGAGAAATTATTCTAATAAAGACAAAAACTCCAAACCAAACAACACCCAGAATTGTTGTGACTCTCATCCAGAAAGGTGAGAGGTGTCTGGAAAAAATACAATACAGAGCCAGATACTAATGGGTACAGACAACTTTGAGCAGTGTTTGGAATTCCAAAGCACCATATTAAGGGAGATACATATGAAGAATAAGACTTCTGACTGATTGGAAGCTGGTGAAAGAAAGGCAAGAAAGGAACCCCAGTATCTACATGCCTGTTTGTGTCACTTCAGTGCCTGGTAAAGTTATGGAGAACATTATTCTGGGAGACACCAGAAGGACAATGCAATCATTGGTCACAGCCAGCACAACTTCATGAGAGGGAAGTTCTACTTGTCAACCTGAGTGCCTTTCATGAAAAGGTAACACATCTGGTTAAACAAGAGAACTCAGTCAATGTAAAATTTTGGATTTCAGTAAAGCTTTTAATACTATCTCTCATAGTGTCCTTCTGGAAAAAATGCCATAGATAGATAATAGATGCCATAGATAGATAAACTCACCATTTTGCTGGCAATCACCAACCATGTGAGGTTCAACAGGGAAAGTGCTGGATTCTGCACCTGGGATGGAGCAACCCTGGCTGTAGGGACAGATGGGGGAATGAGGGGCTGCAGAGCAGTGCCAGGGAAAGCAACTCTGTGAAAACCCTAACACAATAGGCCAGGAAACCAAAGCAGGCCACAGAGTGCTGTCTGTCCTTAAATAAAGACAGATTCATGACAGGTGACTCCTGTTTTCCCACTAGTTCACAAATATTTTGTTTAGCTACAGAGATTCCCTGGAAGTGGGGGGCATGTTGTCAGGTCAGAGGACCTGCTGTTGGGTTATATCATTGTTATGAAAGTCATGCTGCTAAGGAGCTTTGAGTTGTACCCCATACTGAGAATAGTCTAAATAATCTGTGACTCAAAGTATCTCTCATCAGGGATCAGTGTGAACACGAGCAATTTCAGCTGACCCAACAAGCTAAACACAAACATGTCAAGATCTCAATAGCACCAGAACATTTGTTTTCAATATCCTGAGTGTGAATTCAGGGCCAATGGGCAACATTTATTTGGTAATGGTTTTGTTTGCCAGATGTTTTTAAATCTAATTTTACTACAGAGCACATGTGAGTATGTACTGGAATTAAAATGATGATAGGAAAGAACCCAGTAGCCAACTCCTGGTTTATTGCAGCAGCATAAACTGATTTCCAAGACAAAAGCCATTATTCCACATTTGCAGGGTGTGAGATATGAACCCAGCCCATTCCCTTAAGGGAACATCTCTTGTAAACAAATAAATTAAACTTTGAGCCATTGAAATTATGTTTTGAGAGTGGTAGGGCAAGAGAGAGCACAGACTGTAAACCTCTGCTCTTTTGAGCTGAAGGTTGCTCCTTCCAGAGGGAAAAAACAAAGTGCACCTCACTACCCACTGCCCCTGGTGTTGAGGCTGACCATAACTGATCCTTCTGCAGCTGCCAGGAGCCCAGAGGGAATCATAGTCTGCAGGAGACACACAAAGCAAGGAACACAAACAGGTAAAACTGCAGGTGAGATCAGGCATGGAGATGCTTTGCCTGGGACTCTGGCAAGGCTCCCCAGCCATACTTACAATGCACAGCAGCAATGTGTTCTTTGATGTAAACCATTTTTTCAACAAGTAACTTCACTTTTTAATTATATTTTCATTTTGGACAGCAGTAATTGTCAGGGTGGACACATTAATATGGAAGCTGAATAATGCAGGGACCAGAGAAAGGCTTCTGACTTTAAATGAGCTGCACTTACTAAGTTCTATGTCCACATCAAAATTACTTTGCAAGGAAATAGAGCTGACACACTGTTATACTTCTATCAAAGTATCACATGCAATTTTATAGATAATTGCTGCTGCAACATATTCTGTGAAGAAACTAGATCAGGAATACTGAGACACAGCTCAAAATGATAATGTGTCTTTTCCCCCAGGTTGTGAATAGATTCAGAGCAGGAACAGTGCCAGGTTAAAGCAGAGCAAATATTTGCAGTGCAGTATTTTATTCACCAGAAAATTCCTCAAGTTTCTTATAGATAATTCTGGCTGAGAAAACATTTCTTTAACTGCAAAGTTTTATTTGAGTGCATTTTGAAGCACTACTGAGTGTGAGCACAGGAGGACAGATTGGGGTTATTTTTAGAATGCTAAGTCCTAGATAAAACCAGAGCATTCCTTTTTGCAATATATATTTTGTAAATCTTTGTAGATTATTTGTTAGTTGGTTCTGGAGATTGTATATGGAATGATTTGTCCATGATAGAAAAGTGCTTAAGCCAAAATCTCAGGTCCTGGAACTTTGCATACAGCTCTCCCCTTTTTCCTTTAATTGGTCATAACCCTGGGAGATCAATTCCCCAGAGTCTGGAGGGAATTTGGGTTTGAATTAAAGTAAGGTTCATCCACTGAATACATACTCTTATTTACCAAAGGGAGCCAAGCTCAAACCACATCATGTTGAACTTTGGCCATATATTTTATAAGATATGACTTCAAATGCAAGAAGTCATGCCAGCTTAAGAAAATACCACTCTTTCCTCCTTTCAAACAGATTTTCTTTGCTTTTCTAGGGTTTGCCCTCTTCGCTGCTCAAAGAGTAAGTATTCAGTTGATAAATGGGAGACCTCTTCCAGATAGAGTCCATCTTGGCTACACTCACACTATTAAAAAAGTGTAAATACAATTTGTAAGGGAATCCAAAATTTTCTAGGAACGCTTAAACCTTACAGGAGTGTCAAATTCTTCAGACTGAGCAGGGTCTGTCCAGATGGCTTAGTTGGGATATGCCTGCTCACCTCACCAGAGGAAACCCAAACTAGAACTTAGGAGGGTTTATTAGCAAATCCCACACACACTGAGTTATCCTTATAAATACCTAAGGAATTAATTTATAGGTTAGCCCAGAGTACAAAAAGAGGAATGCACTGGTTTTTCCACAGATGGTTATGTGAAAAAATATTTCTCCACCAGTTGTTATTACTTTGAGATAATATAAATTACTCCTGGCTTCTACAAATGGATTCAGTGGCAGATGTAGTCAATCAAGAAGGGCCTTGCTCTGGATTTTAGCAGCACTTTAGGACAACAAGCATAAATGCTTCACTGATATTTAAGATGGGATTCATTGATGTGGCCGTGCTATTTCATACACATAACTTAAAAGCATCTTTTTAAAAATAGACATTCAATAAGCTTTCTAGATGCAGAGGATCCTGCATAACCCCTTAAAGAACACAAACATGAAAACTCCACCAGAAAAAGCTCCTTTCTATTCCTTCCTGATATTATTTCACACTGAAGCTTGTTTAAATAATGCAGATTTTTTTTTCTTTTCTTAAAACAGTTATTTTCTTCAAACAAAAGATAGCACTTGGTTCTGTAACTCCCTGTAAGCTCCCTGAAGGTTGTACAATGCAGGTCTCTGATAATTCCTATGGAAAGTTATGGATGACAGAGAATCCACATTTGTAGTTCACAGCTTGCTGCCCAAATGTCTGTAGAAACAGTAAATTTACTTTTTCTACATTATTAAATGTGATTGTTGTATTTCTATTAAAAATGATGATATTGCAAAAAGTGCAAGGGGAAAAGAATCTCTTTACCACATTGGAGGTATTGTAGCAGGTTGATGTTTTGGGAAAAGGGGGATGAATTGCACCTTTCCTGGGAGCAAGAGCCCACCTCTATGAGGAGGCTGCCACAGACAGCTCTGTTGCCTTGGGTAGGAGAGGCAGGAAACTGGACTGCAACACCAGTGAATTGGAAGGTCTTAGCAGAGTCACAATCTAGACACTTGCTAAAAATATTGAGATTTTAGTCCCCAGAATTACTGAACAAGTTCTTCCTCAGTTTTCACAGCTGAGACTCATTTCAGGGGTCTGTGTCCCTGGCAAAGGAATATGGACAAATGGATGACCAGACCTGCACCCTGAAAATAATCTGCTCATGGAGACTGTCCTGGAATATGGGACTGGACCAGCTCTGTGATGGTCATGGTAAGATTTCACAGTTATACTCCAAACCAGCTGAAGCCGCTTCAGTCAAGTTCTGATAGCCAACATCAGCCCTTTGATGTGAACCACGGGGTGAGAATTGAGTGCCCAAACATTCACTGTTTAGTGAACATTTCAAAGTCAGCATTTTGCTAGAGCTGTTCCACAAGCTAAGATTTTTTAATAAAAATATGATCACCCCCTGTGCTAAAGTCTCCTGCAGCTGCCAGAGTGGGCAGTGGTGAGGGTGGCTCCTCAAGGGAAACCTGTGCAGCCTCCAGTATTTTCTGACTTTTATGCTTCTGCAAGGCAATTCTGTGACTACATGAATGTCATTTTTGTCATTTAATACTGTTGCCAACCCACAAAATTGTTAAGGGACTACACAGTGCAATTTAGCATAATTAAGACAATTACACAGTTAAGCACCATGAGCAGTCAGTAGCCAAAGTTTTTGCCCTAGTGTAAGGAAACCCAAAGGCTCCATGTATTGCTCCTGTGCACCCTTGGAGTTTTGATTGCTGATGAGCATGAGGATGATCATGGGGCACTTTCAGTCCTTTTTACCAAGGGGATGCTGTTGATTAAGGAAAAGGGGGATCTGAGCCCATTCCCATCACCCCATAGGTTACCACGTGGGAACTTGACCTCCGAGCGTGTTATTTGAGCCACGCTCAAGATCTCACCAAGAGAAGATACTTAACACATTTCCTGTGCATTTTACATCCATCTGAAATGTATTTAGCTAACTTTTGAGGTACCTTGCATGTTAAACCTTGAACCGCAGTTGTAACCTCTCCAGTTTCCCTTATTCACACAGTATTTGATTTGGATGACATATTTTTATAATATTTATTTTTCAGCCCATTTTGAGACTCTCATGTTAATGCCACAATAACTTCAGTCTACTGTATAATATTTCAGACATGGAGAGGAAAAAAAAAGAAGAAATAAAGAAAAAGAAAAACCAGCCGTCTGCATCCACTTAAACTACATTACAATAAAGCTCAGTAGAGATCTGATCAGCAGTTTTTTAGCCTGCCCTGATTTAATATGAAATAAATTAGTGGAAAACTTAAAGGCTGAAAGGAAATTTTTTGCCACTGTTTAAAACAGGACATGAATCCTTTAACATAATATTTACACACACTATATTAAATACTTTCTGCAAAGGTAAAATTTAGCACTGCCAGCTTCAGACAGACTGGGAACGAAATTTGTTTACACTTAATAAATCTGATTTTGAGAAGAAAAAGTTTTGTTCTTTTTTCCTTTTTTTCCCCCTCCTGTGTATACACTAGCATTGACAGAAAATCCTTATTTCAAAATATATAAATATACTGATTAAAAAACTGCTGAACACTTAAAGGAAAAGACACAATTTGTATTGTATTTAGTAGTATTTTCATCTTGGCCTTCAGACTTGCTATAATCTGTTATCTCTGGTGGTCCACAAAGCTTTTGAGATTCTTGAAGCACCATGGCTTTCAGTGATCTCTATATCCCAGCATAGCTTTTATTTGTGGTCATTGCTAGTAGATTTAGCATGAATTTTCTGACAATATACTCTAATATTTGGGAAGGAAGGTGTCTGTCAAGAAATATTAAATTGTCAGATGTGACATTTTCATCAGAAAGAACTGTCCAGTTTCTCCAGGGAAAATTTCGTGATCCAGGATTGAACTGTTATTCAAAACAAGAAGATGGATTTTTCCAGGGAAGACCCTATAGTCCCCAGCCCAGCTCTTTCAGAACATCTCAGAAGACAATATACAAATCTCCTGCTCTGCTGACCCAGAACAAGGACATGGCATTATAATCTCAGAGTCTTAAACCTTCAGCTTTATGTTGGGAGGGGGTGTGAGGTGGGTACGATTTAGCCATGTGGAGATGAGAACATTTTGAAAAATCAATAGCACTTTCATGAAATAGAAAAACAGTTTCCTACAGAGCTGCAATTAAAGTCATGCCCAATCCCTTGAAAACACATACCGTTTATTAAGGAAGTTACTAAGATGTGCCATAGCTCCCAGGCAGAGGTGAGAAAGAAGTTTTAACTCACCATCTACTTCTTTCATCTGAGATTTATCATCTAGCCAGACAACTTGGATCATTAGCACATCAAAGATCTTAAAACATCCCAGATGAAAAAAAGAAAAACTTCTTTAAAACCATGGTATTTCACAGATCAGCCATGTATTTGCAGATTTTAAGATCATATGGAAACTTTGCAGTCACCTTCTCTGACATCTGCAGAGCATAGCCCAGAGGAGGCTGCCCAGCAATTCCTAAATTATTTCCAATAAATTGTGGTTGAATCAGGGCATCTTTCTCGGAAAGACATTCAGTCTGATTTAAAGACTATAAGCAACTGAGAATCCACCACATTCTTTGGCAAGCTGCTAGTTACAAATAGGGCAAAATCTCACCAACAGGAATGGGAGTTTTGTCTGGACTCATATTTAATCTGCAGATTAAATATTCACAAAATGTAGAATTATTAAATATTCACAGGAGAAGTGGGTTGTAGTTTACTCCTTCCAGAAATCATGAGACTGTAATGATAAGTAAAGTAAGAAACTGGGGAAAGTATTAACAGGTCTGAAACTATTTTTTTAAGTCTGATTAAGGTGCACAAAATCCCTACAAGAGCATGAGAATGTTCATCCAAGACACATTCTTTATGGTTTTGAAGTCTAAAATCTTAGTGCTCAGAGATAGCATCTATTTAAAATACATGAGCAAACTAAGGCATAAAAAGTCTGTTCCTCTGACTTTGCTCCCAGGACAGGTCTTCTGATGCCAGTAAGAGTCCTAGAAAAACATGAGCAACACTCATTCCACTAGTCAGAAATTGTTTGTGTGGCAGGATTTCCAATAGAAAGCTGATTTTATCTTGCCATGACCCCAGTTTGGGCAAATAGTTTTGCTGTACTAACAGGCAGAAGTCCTCAGTTAGCCCTATGAAAAGCAGACAGCCATAATGTAAATAGAGTTTCTATTTACTCTGAAGTTCAGAAAATTCATTCCAAGAGAACAATAAATGTGGGACCACATGCATTGTTTACTTATCTTTAGGAACATTGTTATTCCCCAAACAGGCTGACTACTTCTCACTACTCTTGGTCAGCTCCTTTTGCAAATGCATCTCATCAGCTTCAGCTAATTCATCACTGTGGTTTGACAATAATTACTGACTCTCTTTCTAAAGATAATCTGTGTTTAAAGGCTCTGTTATATAATATGCTATAAGCCAAGAATATCTTGCAACATTTGGAAAGGTAGGGCAGTAATGTTCTGCCAGATTCCTCTCAGCATTTAAACATCATATTTTACATGCCAAAAGTTCCTTCAATTAATAATGACTTGTGAGTTTTAAGATGGATAATTTATATCTGAAAACAATTAGGGAAGGCAGTTTAGAAAAACTTATCTGTGTTTGGGGAGATGTTACGACAAAAAATGTCACTGAAAGAGAGAGAAATAAATGGACTGAAATTCAAGGATATATCCTGGCCCCTTGGGAAAAGTCAGTGATAGTTCAGAGCCAGTTTGCTTCAAAGATAATGCTGGAGAAAGAAAGATTTTTCAGAGACATTCCAGTAACAAATAAGTGAGTGAGTCCTTGTGGGATTGAAGAAGCAACAGAGAATAGCAGAGGGAAAGAAGAGGTTTTCAGATCAGTGAAAAAGAGCATCCTAAAAAAGGGAAAAGACATAAAGCTGAAAATCTGGGACAAAAATAAGTGGAAGTATATCTAAAATATACACAGGAGAGAGGAGAGAGGTTAGAGAAGAAGTTTAGAGCCTCAAGAGCATTAAGGGTGCCACCAGAGCTGTCAAGGAACTGGAGGCAAAACACCATCCTCCATATTTCTGTAGCTGAGCAAAATATGTCTGTTCAGATTGGACAGAAAACAAGGGTCAGGATTACAGAGATTCACCATGACAAGGACGTGTCAGGTAAAAGCACAGAACCCATCAGCTGCAGGGACAGAGAGCCTGTTTGGGGCCATTGGGCAGGGATGTGCAGCATCCCAGGTCATGCTGACCCCAGTGAGCACTGTCAGCAGACACCCCACACACCTGGTGGGAAGGCACACCACACATTTTCTGTAAAATCAAGGATCTGCCAAGGATCAGCAGACAGCTGTCCAAGCCCTCAGGTCAGCACAGAGATGTAGAGCTTCATATAATTCCTATTGCCATTAGAAAATAAACCATATATTATTTTTATTCTTGCTGGCATATGACAAAACACTATTGAGGGAGCACCCCTGGTTTCCCTACCTCACAGACAGTCACATTTTCACTAAAGGAAAGGTGTAACTTCAAATTTCTAAACTTCCCCAGTTGTTCATTTAATGACGCTGTTGTTCTCCTGTTGCCTGGCTAAATTAACTAATTCCTCTTTGATAGCTGCATAATTATCTGGCATATCCTGAACAGAGCAGTCCTGTTCATTATGGAAGCGGGGGGAAGACATGCAAGGACCAGTACCCAAAACCTGATTTCTTCAAATATTTCTCTTTCAGATGAATGGACAAACAGATTTCCCACAAGCTCAATTGAGGAAAGATTTGAAGGCTCAGAAAGAAGAGGCCACCACTGAAGTTTGCAGTGTCTCCTCCAGCTCAAATAAAATGAAGGGAAAAAAAAAAGGGTTATATTTGCTTATAACATAAAAGGTGGGACTGTCACCATTCTGATTAATTAATTTAGTTTTGCAGTTTGGATTAATTACAGTGAAATACCCAAATACACTTCATAGACACTAATATCTGTAGTTTTATGACTGCTGAATAATTAAGTACTACTTTTTCAGTTTCTCCAAGTGGGAAAAATCAGGTATATTAAGCCTTGGGCACTATCAGCCACCCAATAGGTCTGTATAAAGGCTTGTGATGGAATCAAAATATTTCATTATTTAGCTGAAAGATTCAGTCTCAAAGGGTACTACTATCTTTGGTATATGGATATTTCCAAACCTCTCTGAAGATGATGAGTTTGTAGCAACATTTTATTTAAGATAAAGGGAGAGGGGGAAAAAAAGCTCTTTTCTTTAAAAGTTCTTTTGTTTAACAACAGAAGTTACTGCTTGTGTAACTGATCTACATGTCTTATAGATCTGTCTTTGGTGGTTTGGCTGGGAACTGAATTAACACTTTAAAATTTTGCTAATGGCATGGCAGACCTGGATGTGTCTACAAAAGTGACAGAAACAACCAGTGGCAGGCAGAAAACACCACAAAGAAGACATATAAAATAAAACCACCAAAAAGGGGTGGAATTAGGAATTACTCAAGAAAGAATGTGGCTTTGTGAACAAAGACAGTGACTCCTACATCATTGCTGCAGGTCTCTGCAAACATTCTCCACAAGGAAACATGATTGCATTGAAGAAATGCAGGTCACCAATCTCTCCTTCCAGTGAAAACAATCTAGCACACCAGAAGTATTGGCTATGAGGCAGGCAAATATCACCAGAGGAATCAAGTTTCCCAGAAGAGAAAAGATAAGCTGATATCTGCAATCAAACTGGAACAAACAATGGAGGTACTCACACAGCTCAACAATGGCCAGAAAATAATTAAAACAAGATCTAAACAATTGCTGGAGCCCTCTATAAAGAATCTGAGTCAAAATTCCATAGTTTCCCAGAAAAGGCAGAAATATGACCATGTCTTTGGGGGCAGAATGAGTGTGTCTGAGCAGATTGAAAAACTGCTAACATAAATACAATTTTATCTGCACATGAAAAAAAAAAAATCCTGCAGAAAACTGCACTAAGATGAAATAATAATTAATGTGAAATTGTATCCTTTTTTTAACTACAGCCAGTATTAGAAGTTTAGGACAGAAGAGTGAAAAAAAAAGCCCTGTAAGATGATTCTTTCACCTCTGCTGCCATACATTCTGGTACTCAGCTGTGGAGGGACTTTCAACTTGACATAACACTGAGCAACAACAGATGATGTATCACAAAACTTCTAATTCCACACATTTTCTGTATTTATAATTGGGAGACCTTTTTTCACTGGAATCTATAATGCACTTCAGCTGACCTTCCAGTGCTCACAGAACTGGAAATAAACAACAAAAAAATAAAAAAACCAGCTTTCTAAATAAGTGAAAGATGGACTCATATTATCTAAAGGAATTTCACTCAGAGGGTGCTGGTGGCTCTTCCTACTCCAGTGTGAAGATCTTCTGTTTGTGAAGATCAAATGGGACAGAAGGCATGTGTCAGCTCTGGGTCAGGCTTTTCTGGAGGCACACACACCTCAGCCAGCCTCACATCCCAAAAGACTGGTTGGGGTTTATGTCTGAACAGAATCACCCTGAGCACTGTGAAAGCTGCTGCACACAGCGACTTTTTACCTGTAAATTCATCTGAGTCTGTTTGAGGTAAAAGATAGGTAAGGAGTTACAGCTGGGTGGGGAACATGAGAGAAGACCTTGACTAACAGGATGGATGTCCAAGGAGTCTTGTGCAATCTCAGTTTACACAGGCTTGGATTCAGACTAAGATACAAAACACTGACATAGGGATGCTTGCCCGAACTCAAACATCTCTCTTAAATCAGGAAAAAGGCCCAGGATAGCTCAGGACATGGAATAAGTTGCTGTGGTGCTCCTGCTTTCCAGTCAACAGTCCCTCAGTGGGAGGAGAAAGCAGAGAGGCTGGAAGATGGTATCCATGAGCCCTGATGCTCCATCCCTGGAATGTCTGCAGCAAAGGGATCAAACTTGGCTCACAGCTCTTCTGAGCTAACAGGGAAACAATGAAACTCCATTCTGCTCAGTTCTGGCGGTTTTTTTTCTTTTTCGTTTCTTAAGTGAGAGAGAGAAGGAGAGGAGAGAAGAGAAGAGAAAAACTGGCAAGTGCAGCAAATTTTAGAGAATGGACCAGATAAAAGTTATTGTTGTAAAATTTCTTTGTTTCATGGCCAAGACCATTATCTATCTCTGGCTGGCCAGACGAAGCATCATGTGTCTTCAGCAGAAGCTTCTCTTCTACCCAGGGAGCTGGACAGAGGAAAACAAAATTTCAGGAAGGAGCTGGCTTGAAAGGGCATCAGAGTTCAACTCAGCCTGAAGGACAGACAGTCCCTCTAAGGGACTCCTGTTCATGTTTAGGAGCATGGGACACCCTGTCTGTTGTATTGTGTTGGTCTTAAAAATAGAAAATGCCCCAAACATGGGGAAAATACATTAGAATAAGACCTGCAGTGAAATAAAGTGACAACTTTTAATGCTTGGGGAAGGAGCATGTCCCATCTGTGAGACCCATGGATCAGGTTTGGGTAACTAAGCCTGCCAGAGTTAGGATATTTTCTTGAAATCTAGATAACACCACAAAGCTTTCTAATGTCTTTGAGAAGAACTTGTATCTTCATTGTTGCTCTCTGATGGCCAAGCAAGTGTGCTGTCAATAGGAAAGTGAGAGCAAAGAAGCATGAGTTAGGTTAAACAGGTATTTGCTAAGAAATCCAATGGGAAGAAAAAAAATCTCCTCTTAGAGAAAGAAAACAAAGGTTCTACGGAAGATTCAGCTCTGCAAATGTTTTTCAACACACAGTTTTCTGTGGAGATTTTGACTTTACATACAAATCATAGAGAAAATGTGACTTTGGCACTGCCTGGTAAAGTAAACAAGCTCTCCTTGAGAAATTTATTCCCAGAAAAAAAAAATCAAATTCTGCTCCCAGTCCTTTCTGTTCATATCTTAACGCTGTCCTCTCACTGTGAGCACTAGCATGTGTACTTCTGCAAAGAAACAGGCAAACATAGGTACACTAATATTGGAGATGGCCCCTGAGCCTTTTAAACTTTGAATTCGAAGTGTTTCATCGGGTTTATTAAATTCTGTGTATCTAGAATTTCCGTGCTTGCCTCTGTACCAGCAAGCTGATCATGTAATAGTAAGGTTCAATAGCAGTTCATCTGGTTACGTGCATCAAGCCTCCCAAAAAAGACTAGGAACAGTATATTCCATTCCTTTGAATGGAAAAAAAAAACAACAAAATAACACTCTAAAAAGACAGTAAAATAAATCACAACACTTTCCAAAGTGCTGGGTAAACTCAGGTCCTTCATAAATTCTCATATGTGGTTCCTGAAAAGAAACACAAAAATGTGGATCTTGAACAAGCCTTCTAAATGACAAAACTGAAAAAATGCTCATTTCTGCTGAAGAAGAAATTTTCAGTTTATAGAAGGTTTCTCACACATGCAAACAGTGAACTTTTAGAAGAGGTATTTTGCTTGGTGTGGGCAGAGTTATGAGGAAGAACAGGCTGAATAAAGTTTGGAAGATGGCTCTGAATGCTGTGGGGTCACCCAAAAAAGTGTCACAGCACTATTTCAGGTTTCTGCCACAAGAGCCAAGAGCATCATTTCAGAGACTGAAACAGTTTTACTGGAAAGAAACTAGCTCCAGGAACCAAAATGAGCAGATTTTGGAGAAACAAAGGAGATCCACCAGAGACAGAAAGACCCATTCCACATGGTGAAAAGATAATCAGTCAAGAGGAAAGTCTGAATGATATTTGGCCAGATCAGTGGAAGCTAGAACAACCTTGGGGGGCAGAGGTGTGTCTGAGTAAATCCTATTTTAAATATTTAAATCTCTATCATTCCTAAATTACAGAGGGAACATGCTGTGATATGGACATGAGCAGCCAGGGCCAGTAACAGACTGGTCTCCAAAAGCTGCAGAGCATCAAAAAGGCCGTAGGTGAGGAAGCCCTTGCAGCACACCTGGACAGATATCAAGGGCACATTTTGGGATGGAAAAAGGCCTGGCAAGGACTTGAAACCACTGACTTCTGTTTTGTTATTGCTGCATCCAGAGTAATTCTTTCTGTCAAAGAAATACTAGGTTGTCATCTGGTTTTCCTGAGGTAAATAACCTTCAAGGCCCCCACTTGGGCCAGCTGTGTAGACCAGGATGCAGCAATGCTCATTGGAATTACACCCTCACCTGAAGGCCACGTTTGTAGCTGTCAGCACACAGAGATAGTAAGGAGAAATTAATCTTTGTGCCCAAAGCAGTCCATAGTATTAATAGTTCCAGGAGATTTGTAGCAAAAGTCCCAGAGGAGTTAAGCCCATGCACAGAGGGAGAAGCAAATCCAAAATCCTGCTTTCAGCCCACTGCTGTGTTTGATTCTGCCTCTCCCAAACAGACTCCCAAACCTACCCCACAAAGACCGAGTGGCTCACTGGTGAAAGTAAACACTCTGTTTGCACAAGCTTTTACATTTCACACTTTGGATTGAGTGTAAAAACTCACCCCTGAGAAACTCATAAACAGATGCACATTTGGAATCAACGAGCTCTGTGCTCACATTTCACTTCTTCATTAGACACTCACACTCAACTGCTCCGTCTCAAACCGATGGAATCCAGCCTTTGTGGTGTGAAGAATTTGCAATGAAATGCAGTCTGGGCCCACAGAGCATGACTCCAAGCTGAAGACAATTTGATAGATGGTGCATTGACCACACAAACGGGTTCAAAAGAAATCAGTTTGGCATTCTGGAGAATTTTGAAAGTATTTTTGATCAATGGTGTTTGGAAGCCTCAGGAACATTAATTCCACATCCAGTTTGCCAAAATGTCTACCTTAGGTAGAATTTATAAGCATACATGTCAAGATATATTTAAAATCCTTTGAGACTTCCAAGTACACGAATAACACACGTATCATTACTACCTTTTTTTAACATAACATCATATAAATCAAATGAAAGCGCCAGGCTTTCTCAACTAAGGAAAACCACTTCACTTAAAATCACAAAGGTAATACTTATTTATTAATGTACAATGTCCAAAATTCCTATTAAAATCTGTCAAGAACAGTTTAATGCAGCACACTTTCAGGAACTGAAATTAACACATTAACAACTTGCTCAGAGGTTAAATCCACCACTTTGCTATAACCGTATTTTTCATTTCAGAGGTTAGGAAGTTCCTGTTTAGTCCTTTGAAAAAGTGCAAAATTACCATGTTGAAAAATGGAAACAGCATCTGAAAGTGCCCACTGTCATTTATCAACTGTCTTGTGTCTAGGTACCATTAGGTGTTCATCAACAACGCATTTGAGGAGGAAAATTTATCAGAAGCATTTCCTCACACTCTCTGGGATGGTGCCTGTGAATGAGGAGATTATGAAATAGCTCATTAGCCAGTTATTGCTACCTGATGGGGACTGTTCTCAGCAACTGCAAATGGAATTCCCCCTGCATGGCAGATTATGGTAGTAGAGGACACAGGGAAAAAAAAAGGTCAGCATTGCCATTTCCATGCTTCCAGCCAGTGGCAGACTTACATGGCCAAAGGCTTGGCACAAGCAATTTCATTCTAAGTCAGTTGTTCTGAGCATATATTTGAGCATGCAGAGCGTCTAGAATGGTCACAGTTGAATTAAGTCAGGACTGAATTACTTTTTTTCCCACAACCTTATAAATTTACAGGAGTAATTCTGTGTTGATTGAGTCTTAGGAAACAGAAGAAATCTTGACTGTTGCTCCTTAGATAACCATCCAAACAACACAATCATAACTTCAGAGTCCATAAGAAGAAGATAAAAGATCTTGTTATTTCCTTGGCTGATGATAATGTCCTGAATGATAAGGAGCAGCACGTCATTCTGCAATTCATTCAAAATTGTTTCCTTGAGGCTGGACAACTGCAGTTGGATCCTGGTGCAATTCTTCATAACAATAACTGCATTTACCTTTCCTGTCAGGGGCACTCATTCAACACTTCTGAAAGGTCCCCTGACCACCCTGGGCAGCAGGCAAAGACCAGTTTTGTTGAAGAACACTGCTCATATCTGTTCATATGGAGGAGACATTCTCAGAGTAGGGACAGCACATCTCCTTCAGTTCTGCTATGGATGGCACCATATTGTCCCCAAAGGAGTATGGACTGTCCCTAGTACATGATAGGAGCATTCTCTTTTAATTTGGTACAAGAACCTTTGGCTTGGCCAAGGCTCTATCTGCTTCTGGGACAACTCTTCCAAATCTTCAGGCAAAATGACCTTTCCCTAACTCTAGCTCCTTCCTTTACTTCTTCCCATTGGGTTTCTTTATTTTGTCTTCCAAGTGCAAAATTCTAATATTTGGTACTCTTCCTCAGGCTCTCTGTTTGCTCTCCCATCTCTGAAAAAAACCACATTTCACCTTCTTCCTCTTGCTCATACTTTTGTCCACCCCCCATGTTACTCAGTTGTCTTACTCTTCTCATTTTCTACATCATTCAGTAATTCAAATCCTTGCTTAAGCATAAAAATCCCATTTCAGGCGTTTCCACTGTTGTGGTGGATCAATTAAAAAAGACCAAGGATAAACCAGAATATTTGTCAAGAGATATGAGCAAACCAGGAACTCAGCAACCTCTCCACTTCCTGCATGTGTAAATGAGATGAAGAATGTAAAAAGCTGTCTTGAGCTGAAGAGATGCATTGCAGATATTCAAGTAAGGCAAAATATTGTTAATAATCACATCTTCCCTATGAAAGCAGTAAAGAGCCTTTGTACAAAGTACAATCTGAATACTGTTATCTTGCTTTCTGAACTACTTCTGCACAGTTTTAGTCTGAATCTTCCTTTAGTATCACAGTGAGTTTGCCAAATTCAAAGACTCAAATTTAAGTGAGGATCCTGGGATCTGTGACATCTCAGAACCTGAGATCAAGCAGGAGAAAACACCATGAGAAAGAATTCCACGCCCCAAAACCATTAGCCCATCAGGTGAGGCACACTTAGTGGCATATTTAATTTTGACTTAAATTTTACATTAAGTCACAGAACAGCCCAGGCTTTGAAGGACTGCCAAGGCAAAAGGGACAGTTCTGCCTGAGCCATATTGTGCATGTCAAACAATGTTAACACTGAAAAGCTCATTGTTAGAGCCTTGCTGAGGACGTTAGCAAGAGGAAGGAAAATTGGATATAGAAGGAGATTACATAATTCTTTTGAGTTTGCAAAAGGAATTTGATTTGGCAAGTCTGAGCAGAAGAGATGTTCTCTGAATTGGAGGTTAGTTTCAACTAGTGGAAAATGTCAGTTTTGAAACAACAAAAATATTGTAATATGCTGTAAGTCTGTAAAGACATGTCACAAGTGAGAACTGGCAACAAGCAGAGTGATTCCCTGCTATATGTTACTTGGTGGCATTTAAAACAATT